TCGACGTCGCTCCTACATTCCCCGGCCTTCCTGCGCCGGGTGACCTCCTTCTTCCTCTCTTCCTTCTGCTGGACCTCCTGGGTCCTCTTCTTCTTCCGAGCGTCGGTCGCCTCCTTCTGGATGGCCTGTCGGGCCCGGCCCTCCGGACCCTTGGAAAGGTGCGGTCGGGACTTGTACCTCCCGAGCCCCTACGGAATGATAGAACCAAAATCAGAGGAAAGGGAAGGGAGCAGAGAAAGAGCACAACCAAAGAACATACCAACGTGGGCACGATCGAGGCATTGAACGGTATGGGCTTTCCCTCAACCGTCTCCTCGGGCCTCAGCTGCAGCACTCGGCCGATGCGGCTCTAGATCTTGTCGTTCGACAGATCCTCCGGCGACGTACGGTTTGGGTCCGACCGACCACCGTACGTCCACATCGGGTGCGTCCTCTCCGCCAACGGCGCGACCCAGTGGTGGTAAAGGGTGTGGAACACCCGCACCCCGTCGAGGCCACCCCTTACGAGCTTCTGCAGCTCCTCCTCAATGACCCCCACCTTGTGCTTCTCTATATGGGCACAACCCCACGACCAGCTCTTCTACTTTATCGGCCTCCCGCTGGTAAACACTGGAAAACGGCGCCCCCACCGGATTCCGGATGAAAAAACACTCCCCATGCCATCCCCGGTTGGAGTCGCATGGGGTGTATGCGGGATACGAGCCTCCTCCCGCACGCGGCTTCCTCTGCAGGGCGAAGCCCCTGACCGGCGCGATCTTGGTCGAGCTCCAGTCCGCCATAGCCCTCCGAAGAAGAAAAGTCGAAAGAGGTCCGCGTGTGGCTCCATCCCGAGGAAGGCCTCGTAGACGGTGACGAAACCAGCGATGTGCAGCACCCCCGTCGGGTTGAGGTACTGCAGCTCCAGGCACCACTCGTTGAGGAGCCCGCACAGGAACCAGTGCTCGGGATACCCTAGTCCACGCTCAAGGAAAGTGAGGAAGGAGAGCACCTCGTTGGGATGAGGCTGCGGGGACTCCTCCTTCCCAAGGACCCTCCAGTGCGCCACCTCCCGCGGCGGCAGAAACCCCTTCTCGGTGAAAGACTCCAGCACCGAATTCCTCACGGTGGACGACCGCCAGTCCGACATTTCCGCCCCGGATCTCAAAAGGATCAATGAGTTCTCTTCTTCTCCCTCGCTCTCTCCTCCCTCCTCTCCTAGAAACCTTCGCAGCTCTCAAAGACGCTCTCGACGAGGAGGAAAAAGAACGGTGGCGGCGGCAGACGATGAACAGGCAAAAGAACGGAGCGAATAGCCTCTCTCTTCTCCTACTTAAAGGAAGGGGAGCAGCGGTTAGGAAAAGGCGTGCCGATCGGGAAGGTGAAACGGTAGGGCGAAAATCTCTCTCTTTTCCATTAAATGCAGACAAGACGTGCCCTGATCCGACGGGACGTGCCCAGCGAAGCGACTCCTGATCAGACGGGACGTGGCCTAGCCATGGCCCACCACTACCGCATGATCAACCACTACTGCATGACGGGCGCGAGAACCGAAGCATCACCGCACACGGGCGGCTTCCCGCCTCCCTAGGCCAGACCTAGGGAGACCAAAAATGAAATCTCCACCGGAGACCAACCGACCCCCCGAGCCAATCGAGTCGCTCGGGGGAAACGCCAAGGCACAGGTAGGAAGTGAAGGGACACCCCATGCGGGCCATGCCAACTCCGTCTCCGAGCGACGAGCACGGGTCCCGGTCGGATGTCTCCGACTGAAGCTCTCCGAGCCCCATCACTCCAGTCGCCAAGGTAAATACTATCAAAACCCCCCTCTATTTCTTTAAAAACATTCATACATCCATACACGCATTCATTCCATATGCCTGAACCCCACAGACGGTTAGGGCATGAATCGCCCGGGGGCTCGGGAACTAAAGCATCGCACGTGCAATGAAATGCATCAGAACGCTCCATGTTGCGTCATGAAGCGGGGTTGCCTCATTCAATATGGGCAACCAACAGAGCTAGGGGAGAAAACCGTAGATGAGCACCGTGCGGCCCTCGCCCGGTCCGGCAGATTGGGTCATCTCAACCTTCTCGTTCGATCCTGAACCTCTCGCCAGGCCCACAGAATCTCCATCGAAGGGGAGGCCGTTAGGCCACCCGGGTCGGTCTCTGGAATGACCTAGGCATCTGTCGGGTTGTAGGTAAAGGAGTAGTGGAATGTCACAAGAGGGCTATGCCAACCCTGTCACGAACGACAGACCCGAATTTCACTCGATCACACCCATCAGCGAACTCACCGAGCTAGTCTTCGAGCCCGAGCGATCGGGACAGGCGACGAAACTCAGCCCCTCCGGTCGTGAGGAACCGAGGATGGGGTAACGCACAATACTCACATCGACCCCCATGAAGGCCTGATAGGGCTCGGGGGCTCAAGATAAACGCCAAAGGACGGCGACCTCGAACTCGCTAGATCCACGACTCCGACTCGCCCGATCCCACAGCGCGCACCGACGCCAGGGTCCATGAGCATCGCCTCGTTCGATCTTTAACCAACTAACTACGCTTCGGCTTCAGACGGCTTCACTGCGCTCCAAAAAATCTCGGGACCACGACCCCGAATCCGCGTCGACAGGATCTTTGACATCCGGCTATGGCTCCTGGGACCGTGACTCCTAAGCTCGCGTAACGGCTTCAGACGGCTTCACTGCGCTCCAACAAGACCTAGGACCATGACTCCTAAACTCGTGTAACGGCTTCACTCAGGGTCCACGAGCTTTGGCTCGTCCGATTCCTGAACTAACTAAACTAACTCCCGCGATCCACGGCATGCATCGACACTGGGTCTGTTCACGGTCCTACCTCGCTCGATCCCACGGCACGCATCGGCACCTAAGATCAGTAAGCTCTGACACGACCGAGCCATCACCGTCCATGGCACGCACCGACGCCAGTGGTTTCTCCGAACTAACCTTCTCACCCGATCAACGGCACGCACCGACGCCGAGATCAGAAAGATTTGCCTCAAACCCTGCACCTAAAAAACGCCTCAGCTACGCAACAACACCTTGATTAAACAAAACATCTCAAAACTAAACATACACACATGCCCGCTAAGATAACACCCCCCATCCAGTTCTACCCGAACCGCCCGGGGACTCGGGGGCTACACCCGCGGGTGCGTTCGTGCGCACCCGCCGACACAACGCAGAAAACCCCCTAGTCGGTTCTGCCCGAACCGCCCGGGGGCTCGGGGGCTACACCCGCGGGTGCGCTCGCGCGCACCCAGCAGCACGACAAAAATCCCCCGGATGATTCAGCTCAAATCACCCGAGGGCTCGGGGGCTCCTGTCGAGTTCATAAACCCAGGGTCCCTCGGGGACCGGCTTCGACGCCCGGGCTCAGCCTAAGAGAACAACCTGTAGCTCATGGGCCGGCCCGAAAGGTCTAAAAACAACGGGCCGGGGGGACAGACCGGTCGCCGACCGGAAGGTCCGCCGAAAGAACGAACGCCCGCTCGACAACTTCTTCGGCCCACCTCCCGGACCAGAGCGCTCGCCTCGGGCGCCGGCCGCCTCCGGGCGGAACTCCCCGATCGGAAGGCCTGGCCCAAAACGCTGCTTCCTACTCCGACCCCGCGTCTCCGACCGGAGGCTCATAGGAAGCTGCTTACCGCTCTTCTCCGACTGGCACGGCCAGTACCGACTGGAGCCATCCGACCGGGGATTTCCACTCGGAAGGGACCAGGGGCGAACGGAGAAAGCAGCGCACAAAGTCAAAACACGGTACCGGGACCATACCCTGTACGCCTGCGGGAACAGTGCTCCACAACCGACCTGGCACAAGCAGTATGGGAGGTTCCGACATATGTAGCCTACAGTATTGTAGGCGCCGACATTTATGTCTATAGTATCGTAGGCGTCGTTGGGGCTCCCATACGGCAAAAAGGCTCCCCACATGCCTCTGGGCATCGATAGTGGGCACCAGGATTCACCACACGTGGTGGGGCTCCTCATATACTGACAGCATTTCACAGGTACCGACGTCCACCCTTCCTGAAGAAGCCAATACAACCCCCCATGTGCATCTGACATTCTACAACGATATCAACAGTGTTATACGTGCCAACCATCATCATTACCCTCACTCGGCGTGGGCAACAAGACTTAGAAACTCTCTCCCTCTCACCTGTAAAGCCATCCCATTTATCTATAAAAGGGGATGCGCTCCCTCCAACAAAGGGATATCGATTTTCTAGAGGTCCACTTCTTCAAGCTCAGGCTCACTAGATGGATAGCTGAGAAACCCCCTAAGCACACGCTTGAACACCTAGCTCATAGCGGAGTTCCGGTCGCCCTCGGCCCTTCCGGTCGGACCCGACTGGACCTCTCGTACACCCCTCCTTTCTCCTTCTCGTTTGTAACCTCACTATAGACTTCGAGCACCTGGGATCAGAAATAAAGTCACCAACAGACCAACACTGGACGTAGGGCACGTTGCCCGAACCAGTCTAAATCATGTGTCATTGAGTGCTATGCCACCTCCGATCACAACGTACAGCAAAACTATAAATATTCACTAGTTGATCACTTTCTGTACCGACAATATATATATGTTACGTAAAAACATGTGTCAAATGTCTTTTTTTCTATGTGCTATGCGTGAAAGCTGCCTACCATAAAAGGGTTAAGCACAAGGATATACACGTGTATTTTAGCAAGTGACGCACACGTAAACGTATCTGAAAAAAATGTTACAAAAAATATTTAAAAATCATCTTAGCATGATATGTCACTTTATCACAAACATAGGAACAATTTACATCATGCATGCAAGTTACATCTAATACAATATGAAAATTAGATGGAAGATATTTTACCTATTTTGCTAATATATATATTTCTTCATTCTATTACCTCTTAAAGGTAATATACGATAAAAATCATCTAAATCGACGGCTCACATTTATTTAGGAGCACCGTGATAAGCCCTTTGGTTTGTCAGACGTGGCGCGTAGTTCCGGCTTAAGTTCCCACATATCGTTCTTTTAAGTCCATTTTTCGATCGTATTTATCCGTTTTTGCATTACTGTTTATCCCGCTACTGTTTCCGCTCCCGGTTCCATAAAAAATTATGAAAATAAAAATGGTAGAGCTATTTTTCGTTCGTTTTCGTCTGTTTTCGTCCTTACCTCTGACACTGTCGCTGGTAACGGCAGAGGACGACGCTGCCGGGGAGAAGATCAACGGCGATATCTTCCTCCTCTTACTGCTCCCACCTCCGCCACCTACCTTCCCATCGCCATCGGCGTCCGCTGCTTCGTCCTCCTCCCGCGCCCGCGCGGCAGGGCCGGGGGAGAAGCAGCAGCTGGCGTGGCCAATGTGGAGGAACAGGAGGAAGAAGAGGGACAGGAAGCCGCGCAGCAGCGAGCCACCAGTGCCCGCCATCTCCGATCGATCTTGCTTTACCACCAGCTTGCCTAGCAACCTCAGTGTCGTCACGGACTCAACTGATCAGATCATGTCGGCGCAGCGCAACGAGAAGTCGAGAAGCATAAAGGAGGGAATACTCTGACAGGTGAGTGGAGGAAGCAAAGCTAGCTCAAGCCGGCCGGGAAGTGATCGAAGGACGGAGGTGGAAAGGGGAGGGGGGAAAAGGCAGGGTGCTTAAAAGAGAAGGGAACGTGACAACGCGGTGTGCTGTGTGCTGTGTGCTAGTAGGGTACGGAAGCCGAAGGCAAAAGGCGATCCGGCCGGCGGCGAGACAGCAAACAGGGTGTGCTACTGCTGCTGGTGTGGGCATGACAGCGCTAGGCTAATCTTCGAGCGCCAATGCGCCATGCATGTACCGTCAGCTCGTCACACCGAGGACGCTGTACCTGTAGACTTGCATAGGCGGGGAAAGGGGGAATGATGCCATGGATGTGGACAAGCTACCGATCTTTCAATCGGGATCGGGACTGGTTTGAGGGCGGAAGTTGATGGCGCGCCTCATCTCGCCGGTGGGCCGGACAGCCGGAGCCTGGATTGGAACGTACGTGTAAGCTTGGAGGGAGCCATCATCATTGTTGAAAGGCCTGACCTGCGCTCCGTCTGTCTCCGGCCTGCCTGCCTCCACATCGATCTCCATGGCTCATCATGTCACGTCTCACTGACCCACTCCATTATTCACCTGCAGATGCACGCAGCAGGTGCCGAGATAAAAATGCCTGATTGCTCTGCCCAACGGCACTCGTCTCGTCGTCCGCGGGGAGCACGCACGCGGGCATGCGGCTGCTGTGCCTGCCGCGCTGCCCCAAAAGATTAACGGGCGGCGAGGCGAGACGAGAGGAGAGACAGCGGGCGAGACAAGATGCGACTGTCCCCGCCGCGCTCCCCAACAAGGCGAAACGTGCAGCGGCAGTCTGACCGCGCAGAGATCCCCGTGCTGGTAACGCTCGTCTGCAGCTGCCGCCACAGCAAAACGAGCTGTATTTTATTTTGGCGGAGCGTTGCGTGCGTCTCCAGGATTCGTGTCACGCTGTGTGCGAGTCCTCTGGTACGATGGAGGCTGCCTGCGCCTTCTAAACGCGGCTAAACGGATGGGAGAACGAACTTCGTCAGCGGCGGTTCGTAATCATCTGCACCAGCGTACGTTGAGTATATGGGACCCGAGAGACGCGCGAACTACTTGTACCACCGCATCTCAAATCTGAGTCGTACAACTGCACAGAGGGACGAACGATAATGCTGGTGGCGTGCCCGGCGCGCACAAAGACAGACCGGGGTTCTCAAGATTCGCTGTTATCACTTTGTCGTGCTGGCTTACGTACAGTTTATCTCTTATTCTTATATGAAGAAGATGTTCTGATGGTTTTCTATATGTTTTTTAGCGAATGGCTTGTGGTACGGCTCGCGCCATGTTCTGAGCCAAAAGGAGAGCACTCGAGTCCATCCATGCACACGACTCAGTACTCCATAGAAGTGCTAGGCAATGCGATCCCCGGACCTCATCATGAAACAAGAAAAGTTGCGAGCCAACCTAGAAGTCCAGCATCTTAGCAAAAACACTTGTGAACGGATCACCGTATTGTTCTTAACTTCTTATTATTATGTTGCAAGCTAAGCATATGAACAACGCCACTTTGTCATCGTGGCATACGTACCATCTTATCTTTGCTAGTATTATTCAAATGATCAGCATGTTCGTTTGTTGGTTTCAGCCAGGGCTTATCAGCCAGCCAACAGTGTTTTTCTCTCACAACAAACCAACACCAGTTGGGCTTATCAGTCCAGAAACCAACCAGCGAACATGCTTGATATTTACCTATGGTTATTGTATGCTTTTATGTTGCCATGCACACAACACTCCGTGGAGACACTAGAGTACTAGACAATGTGATTCGGAAGCTGCCAGACCAAGTGGTAAGAGGAACCTATCATCAGTAACTCCAGTTCACGCAAAATAACATAATTTCAGTTTATAACAGTAACAGAAACTTCCATTCTATACGTAGAAGTGCAACGATCCCATCTGTCATCTGAAACATGATAATTCCTAACCCTTTAGAATTGAATTATTCCCTATGGTGTTCCTCCAAAATACCGGCAATCCAGTGCGCTTCAAGTGGACCCTAGCTTATGACGTGCTACAACGCCAAAGCTAATGGCCAGTATAATCATCAAGCAAACCTATTTGGACCTCTGTGGTTCTAATGTGTCCAAGTAAAATCATCAGCACTATATGTCCAGTATCGGAGATATTTTGGATGAATAATATGCGTGGCAGGTCTACAAGGAAATATGGAGCTGTATATACGGAAGTTCACCATCTGTCCAGCTACACTTCTGAGCTCAAAAGATTAAGGATTGTTTCCTAATGTGGCTATAAAATGAAAGGGTATCAGGACCATCACATATGAACATGCATCATACGTGAAATGAAGCATCATAATCTGCTGCTGATAAAAACACAAACCATCAACTGTTTTTCTGCAGAGTGTCTGAAGCTCAGAGAAGGAAAAAGGATGCTAAGAAAACTGTTCAAGTAAATAAGAAAGCAGGTCGCTTACAGAAAGCCTACATGCCCGCTGTTGTCTCTTTCTTTACATTATATCTGATATGTTATTTTGACACAGGCACCCTACCTACTGAATCGTACTAAAATTTCTAAAAAAAATTGTACTGTACTAATCCTCTATTGCGGATACTGTTTCCGTTGCAACATTACGAAATGAAGCTTTTTAACATGGACGAAAGCTGCCGTTTTGAATGAATAGGACTTTTTTTTGGTGGTGGGGTGTAGAATTAATGAAGTTGAGTTATGATATTTCTCATAAGAAACAATCATAGTTTCTTGGATGATTCATTTGAGCTTGTAAACTATGGTCAGTGTAGAACACAATCTACTGCACATATATGAATTTCAGTAAGCTCAAATCAAATGAACGATAGGTGCTCAAGCATACAAATTTGTAGATAAATACAATCTATGGTTGGATTTGAACTTTCAAAGTACTACTCCAACAACAAAGAAAAGGTCGCAGCTCACAAGTGAGGTCGAACAAAGTATATATAGGGAGACACCAATCACGATTTTTAGGTGAAACATTTCTTTCTTGATGATTAGCAAGATACACCAAAAGAAAAGCCTTAAGTTCTCTGATAATGAGATTGCCCAAGATGATGAAAAGGGAATAGTCAATAGTAACCAACCTGCTCATGGTGACTTCATCACTGAAGCAGTTGCCACAGCATCATCTTTCAAGGACATTGCAGCAGTTTCTTCAAAAGATATACTACAACTAGAATGAAATGCATCTGATTTGTAACAGAGAAATCATATTGCTGGGGTAATGTCTCTACCAGTCTCCCAAACAATTCCTATATGGTTATGCCCAGAAGATTAGGATATTTCAATTTATTGTTTGAAATATGAAATATCAAGTACCTAGATTATTATTTTACTCTTCTCTTAAGTCCTAACCAATAGCTTCTAAAGACAAGGATAGCAAAAGGTTACTTTTATGCCAGAAAATAAATCGTTCTAGTACATTTAACAAGATTAGAATAATAAGTTGATATCATACTCTCAGCTCAGGATTACTCCTTTTGTTTTAAGATTCATTGCATCATTGTTTTTTTAGAGTTCCATGTATCATTGATCTTTTTTTTTCCTCAAACTTTGACCAACAAATTTATTTAATTATTTACTTATAAGTACTAAAGTGGAAAGCATACCACTAAAACTGTCATAAAAATAACTTTGAGCATACCTTGTATATCCTTTTACTCAAAAGTGTATAGAAAAGACAAATAGTCAAACAAATTGAAAATATCGAAGGCGCCATATATTTAAAAACAGAGGGATTTTTTCCCATTTATCCTTAGAAAAATACTACTAATAGCAAGTAACAACACAGCAATATAGTAACTATATTACTATATAAATTGCAAGCATTGCACATTAAAAGACTATTTGGGTCATTCCATTGCTGTGGAAAGATTTGTCAAACTTTGAGCAAAAGCACAGTACAAAAATAAGTTTTTTTTTCACGAAGCATAGTTACAGTCTACCCAAATACTTCCTATATGGTTGTGCCCAAAGGATTAGGATATTGAATTCTGCAATATCAAGAAAGTGGATTATTATTTGACTCACTATTTATTCTCATAAGTCCTAACCAATAACTTCTAAAGATAAGAACAGCAAGAGGTTACTTTCATGTCAGAAAATAAATCATTCTAATACATTTAACAAGATTACAAGACCAAGTTGGTATGGTGCTCTCAGTTCACGATTCCTCTGCAATATAATTACAAAGATATATGATAACTAAACTGCTAAACATATTGCAGTGAATCAAGAATCCTTCACAAATGATACTGTAAAAGCTAAGACCTTCGTGCTAAGATATTAAGAAAAGAGTTTTACAACAAAGAAGATTATTTCTTTCTATTCTCACGCATTTACCATGACATGCAAATGCAGAAGCAAGACATGTGATACATGATATATCTTGGGAGGCAAGACTACATAAAACACACATTTGTTCAGTGCCGAATTATGTATGAAGCCATGAGCCAAGAACAAGAGTGGCATCATGCACTTCCAATTCTCTTGGTAGACCTACTGAACGGTCACTCCATGTGCACAAGAGGAGAATGCTATGAGAGAGAAATAGAACCAGCAAGGCGGGAGGTCTCCCACACTTCCACACCTTGCATCTCTTCTCTTGTCACAAACAAGTGGTCTCCACCCCCTTCAATCATCTGTATCATCCCACGTTTAGCATCCTCTTCTGTGTCCACATAACAACTCCTATAAAATCTTTCATCAATTCCTTCACTTTTGGGTCTTTCCTTTATTCCTGATTGCTCTATCAATTCGCCTGTGTTGTGGCGGTGCTCTTCCAATCGGGACCAAACCTCCAATCCATCCTTTCGGCTGACAAAAACTTGAGACCGGTGACAACACAGAACACTGCCATAGCCTCCTGCGCTACCTCGTGGTCCTGATGACATATACACCCAAGGGTCATCACCAAGGCATCTCAGGTCTGCCACTGCTAAATCTCCTGACTTTGAGCAAACCTTGTATATTGCCTGCTGCTTCACATCCACATCAGCATCTGCAAATGGATCCCCAAACCTACTGCTTCTTCCAGCTCCCCCTGGCTCGCTTGTCTCCCACACCACATTCCCAGACCGAATATCCCATAGCCTCATGTAGCCAGAGTAGCCAAATGCCCCGGAACTAACGAATGAGGCAAACACCAGCCCAAGTGCCGGCAGGTGCACCACTCGACCTGGTGCCGATGACTTAGCCGCACTACCACTTTGCCGGCCAATCTCCTGTGTGGGCTTCAGAGTCACAGGGTCAATCGCCAGGATGCAGTTTTCCCGGTGAGGGCACTCAAACGTTGCCAAGATGGGTGAATTCTTGTCAGCGGCATCAGCAGGAGGACGGGCCCCAATGGCGACGACCTTCGCCTTGCTGACGCGAGTGTCAGTGGGATCCGACCACTGAACGGAGGCGACATGTTCACCATCGAGAAAGTCGTACACGTGAAGCCCAGGAGCGGAGTCAGACCCAAGGACGGCGAGTCTGGGGGGCAGCTGCAGGAGGGAGGTGATGCGGTGGAGGTGGGTCCGGAAGGTGGTGTGGTGATCCAGCGCCGGGGAGTAATAGGTGACCAGCCCGGCGCCGTGGGCGAGGCATAGTGACCCGTCGTGGTGCGGCGCAAGGGCGGTGGGGAAGGGCTCGGAGGCGGGGCAGAGGGTGGAGGCGAGGGAGGCTGAGAAGCGGCGGAGCGGCGGCGGAGATAGCGCAGCGAGGAGCTGGGCGTGGAGGCCGTAGAAGTTGGCCTCGTCGAGGAGGACGCGTGCGGGGAAGTCGGGCGCTGCGGAGGACGGGGAGCGGATGGCAGAGAGGACGGCGGATAGGAGGGCTGGGTCGCGGTCCACGAAGGTTGGGGTGGGGGAAGGGGAACCGAGAGAGAGGGAGAGGGAAAGGGAGCTTGCCTCCAGCGAGAAGAGCTTGCCCCCGACGTTGAGCTGCTTCACCGTGCCGCTCCGGCCGCCGCCGACGGTTCCCATAGCTGCTGTTCGGCTGTCTGACGAGGCGACGACTTTTCTTCAGACTTCAAGCGTATGAATCAGACGCGGCATTGGGCCTGCCGGAAGGCTACGAAGGCGGCCCAATCTCCGTAGGCCCCAGGATGGGGCAATACCGCAACAGTACAAACGAACAAATTGAGCCATATTTCAAATTCTCTCTATATATAAAAAGAGCCATTTTCAGATAATAATGAGACACTCGTACTTCATGGGTACCTCAAAACAACAATATTATGTTTTCAAAAGGAACATAAGTTTCTTTTCTTGTTGAGCGCGGAACATCTATGGTGTTGGCTTTCAGGCCGGGGTGTTCGGTTGATGGTTTCTATGGCTGATAAGTCAGCAGATGCTGTTTTATTTTGAGAGAAGAACACCGTACCATGGTTGATAAGCCGGGTTGATAAGTTCAAGCGAACAGAGGCTCGATCTTCCGTTACACCTAGGTGGGCAAGTAACAAAGTGGATTCACCTCCAAATTTCGAACATGTTTTGAAACACATGGAGCAATGTTTTGTACCGCTATAATCTTTTTCCTTAAGCTGCAATATTACGAATTTGAAAATAGAGTATTAATAACTGCCAAAAGGCCAAAGAGGTTGGAGGGAAGTGAAAGATGAATGAGACACGTTCTTGATGTGGAAGTGGAATAACAAATAAAAAATTCATGACTATAAAAAAATTCGGTAATGTGGGGTCCATCCGTCCGGACAGTTGCGCACTGGGCCAGCGGACCGGCCTAGTCAACCGATATATGGTCTCCCTAACTCATCTCTCTGCCGCTCTTTCCTAAAAAAATCTCTCTACTACGCCATTTCCCCACTCACCCGACCATTGGACGCTCTACCGTGCCGCCCGCCTTCCCCACTCCGCCTCCACCGAGTCTGCGAGCCTCCACAACGACGCTTCAGCAAGCAGGTGAGCAGAGGAGCTTCATGTGACGCCGCCCCGCCGGCGAGTTGCCCATGCTGCTGCCACACGGCGAGCCTCCCGCCGTCGCAAGCTCCATGCGCCGACGTCGAGCTCTGCAACGACGAGCATCCATTCGTCTAAGCAGCAAGGTGACATTGCGTTAAAAGTGCATGTTGCAAGCGTATGTTTTAAGTGTTTCAGATGTTTCAGAGGTATGCTGTACGTGTTTTTATACCGATATTGCAAAATTAGATTGAGATGTTCCACATGTTGCAATGATTATACACGTATCTTTCTAATGTATGTTCCAAATGTTTCATCTGTTTCAGATGTATATTGCAAGTGTTTCATTTGGATGTTGCAAAACTAGATCTAGATGTTGCATATACATGCATGTTGCTAGCGTATGTTTAAAGTGTTTCTAGTGTTTCATACATGTGTTGTAAGTGTCTTATCTGGATGTTGCATATGTTTGCAATGACTACACACGTGTTTTCAAGTTTTTCTGGTGTTTTACAAGTGTTTCAGAAGTATGTTGCTAGTGTTTCAGCTGTTTCGGACGTATGTTATAAGTGTTTCATTTGGATATTGCAAAAATAGATCTAATGTTACACATGCTGCAATGGGACCCGCCTGCTGCAATTGCTGGGGCGCCGCCGAGCGGATGCAGACGCTCCCGCATGCATGCGTGTGGGAAGCGGAGGAGGTGCGAGCTATCCTGTGTGCGGTCGGGTGGTGTGGCCCCCGCGTCGACGCACCCATGGTATCGTCCGACGGGTCGGTATCCAATTGGAGGACGCTAGTTCCAAAAAAAAATATGATACAAAGTTAGATGGATGGGTGGCACACCTGTTGCGCTTCGCTGAAAAGTCTAAGCTAAAAAGTACTATTCGTTGATTTGTTGTAAGAGAAAAACACTGTACCTACAAATAAATTCAAGCAAACAGTAACTGCCCGTATGCTACCGAGTCACCTAGGAGGATCTAAAGATTTCCTCTTGACGATTCGTAGTCATGGCCGTATGGTACCGTACTTGATTTCGTGTTGATTTTTAAAAAAAAAAAATCTTTGCAAGAAGTATATATGTTATTAAAGAAAAAAGTTTGGTCTAAGCAAAAAAAAAAAAAACCAAAAAATTGTAAAATGGATGCCACAATAGTTAGTTCTCAAGGGATCAATCCGCCTAGCTTCTTTCAGCCAATAAGCGCCGAAGGCCCACCATTTCGTTTCTTACTTGATTTTTACAGTGTTTTTCTCTCACAATAAATCAGCCAATAGTATTTTTCAGTCTTTTCAACGAAGCAAACAAGGCCTAACTTGTTTGGCGTCAAATGTTAACGAGCACTCCTTTCCTTCCACAATTCTCGGAAAGCTAGCGTAATAATGATGAATCTAAATTCCTTTGGTTGATGCATTTAGAGCCTCTTTTGCAGGGCTCACTGCAGGGGCTTTAGCTCCGGCTCCTGCAGGAGCTGTGCCAAACGTCTATTTTGAAAAGGGCTCCGCATGGGGAGTCGGTCAAGAGTCGGAGCTATTTTTGCTGCGCAGGAGAAGCTTCAAAAACGAGCTTCGCGCGGCTCCTTGCTATGGGTTCACGTCGTCTAGTGCGAATGAGCCGTTTTGCCAAACGTTTTCCAGAACGGCTTCAGCTCCTCCAGAGGAGCTGCTCCTTCAGAGGAGCCAGAGCCGGAGCCATTTTCAGAAGAGCCAAAGCCCTACAGGCTCTTAGAGTGGTGCTGGTGCCGACCTACGTCCACCATTCCTCAACTATGGAGAAATGGTCCCAAGAGGTTTTGCTTGGCAGTTGTCTCAATAGTCAAGAGTAGATGCTGTCGCAATACGAGCAGACTATCGGCAATGTGCCATGTGTGGATTGCCGTTTCGTCATGTGTTTTGGCATAAGGGCATACTATCTGGTTGAGCCATCCTTGGATAATGAGTCTATCTGCTGTCCACAGACGATTCTGAAATGCAAGCCAGCCATAAGAGGCATACTCGTTAAAAAAAACTGCATGTGACATTACTAAGTATTGGAATTTCAATTTTGATATCAATAGTTCATTCTATCTTACGATATCCATGATACAATCAATATACAACAAAGGATAATTCACAAACAAATACAAAAAGATAACTTTACAGAACAAATACAGGTACCAAGTGGGGCCTAACTGAGCAGAAGATCCCGAACTCTCACTGGTCTTTTCACAGCATTTGTGAAACCCTGCACATTGCATAGTCACCTTCATGAGATAATGGCAAAAGAAATGAGGACAAATGTAGCCACGAGTCTTGAAAATCTTAGTCCAAAGACAGTGCAATTAGAGGACACTGGTATACACAAAGACATCTCGGCAACAAAAAAATTAATCAAGCATCAAATGGTTGAATCACTGATTAGACATAATGACATTAAATAGCAAAGTCAATTTTAAACAATGGAGTTAGTGTAGCACTTAGTTAGCTGCATTCTGCTCAGGTTCTTTAATACAATGATATACTACACAGCTATCCTGCATGTTCGTGAAATAAAAACATTCTGACAGCATTTACTTGGGAGCGTGCAAATAAAAAAAACATCTAATGTATCACTGGATGTGGCCCTAGGTTTCACCTATCCTCACATTAAATGTTGTTTTCTACTACTTTTTACATGTCCTCAATGCCATTGAGGAAATGTTCTCCTTCAAAAGTGTAAGCAAAACAACTTCTAAAAAAGGGTTATTCCCAATCCCATTGACAACTTCAACCTGGGAATACATATTCCAGTATGCTGGACCTAGGACCACATCCAGCAAATTTAATTATGAGGAACAATGAATTCCATGAGACATGAGATTATTAGTGCATGTGTTTATATGGAAGCAGGTCACAGGAGGTACTTTGGCATAGCAATGGATAGAAAGAACACCTCATTATATTTGAAGATCAGAGGGCGTGAATCCCTCTGAAGTGTTGCTCCTTGCAGACCCACATCACTATGAGTTTTTGCATCTAGTGGTCTTTCCTTCCTAAACCTGTTTTTGTCAAATAAAATTGGTAAACTTCACCACGATCATAATTGCAGGTAAAATGGCAAGTTGACATCTCAATAATAATAATTTAATATTGCTACATTACCTGTCAAAGAAATTTGTTGGGCGACTGGAGTGTTTTTTGGCAGGTACAGAATCTTTACCATTCACATTAGAGGCCGAGTTTGATTGCATTTCAAGGGTAGATGAACTGCACTTGGAACTATCCTTGGAAGAATGTAAAGCTGGACGGATGGAATTAGCTACTGTTTTCTTCCTTATAGCTGATAAAGCTTCGCTCTTCATATCTCCATCATTAGATTGATTCAACAATTTGCCAGCACTATCTTTAATGATCTTTTGCTTCTCTACCTGTATCATGGATAGTATGTTCACAAGGATGAGGGAAAAAATCACTTTGTTCTACACTGAATTTCTCATGTGATCAAGTATACCTTGGCCCTGTTTGTTTTGGTTTATTCAGATTCTCATGTAAAATAAATAAAGCCAAAACAAAAGGTGAGCAAACACCAGATTTGGCATAAGGAATATCAACATAATATTTCAAGAGCACATATTGATTTACTGAATAATTCAGAACCTCCGTTAGTACAGCAAGAGAAACTATTCAAGAGGCAGCTGGGTCATATAGTCACAATCAATGAACAAAATTTTGTTAATTGGCAATTCAAGGTGCTTTTCTCAGCTATAATTAGAGGTCCAACGTGACTTGCTTTCATATTATAGACAATGCATTGTCACCTCAAAGAAACAAGAGGGTATGCATTTAGTTTTCAGCGTTAAATTAAGAAGTTATTTAAGTTATGCTAGGTATTAAGAGCTAAGCAAGACATGAAACAACTTTGCATCCTTAAAATTTAGAAGGGCCACTCACCTCATGCACCAAAACCTGTTTCATGGCTAAAGATAGACCAATGTGCTCTGATTGATAGCCCTGATATCAACTGCTATGTTAGGTACTATAATAAGAGTGCATAAGTTAAACTGATAATGAAGACTGAAATATTAGACAGACCTTGAAATTTATGACATCATTGATTGGAGGATAAAGAGAGAGTAATGAAACTTCATGGGGCACTACAGATATGTTTGCCTTTTCTTGAGGGACAAACTTAGTGTTTCTGTATGTAACTGAATAGGAGACCATAGTATCAACTAGCTGCACAAGTTCATCCTTTTCTCTTTCTGACAGCAAATTCAGTGCTACCTGAAAATATCATGCATTGTTAGAAACCTTGTAAAGTCATGAAAATATAGGCCTATATTGAAACTTGCAATGCCATCTGGAACTCATATGTTCCCAACTAGTAAATGTGGATTGACTGAGGGTCTTAAACCTATTTCTTAGTTGCTATATTATTTCAAAAATAATAATTAAGCTCTCAGTGGTAGTAATTTCTGAAATTGGAGATGGTGCAAATACCCTTTTCTGGACAGATCGGTGGATCCATGGGCAATGCATTGCAGACCTTGCCCCTTGACTTGTCGTGGCTATTCCTAAAATAAGGGTTAACCGGCGCACTGTCCGGGACGCCCTCACTAACCGGGCATGGATTCCGGACATACAAGGAGCTCTCACAGTTGGTGTGATTGTTGACTACCTTTATTTATGGGACATATTGCTGAATTTTCAGCTGCAACCGGAAGTTGAGGATAAACACATATGGAGGCTCTCTTCTAATGGACAATACTCGGCTAAATCGGCATATGAAGGTTTCTTCTTAGGTTCTACTCTTTTTGGCCCGTGGGAAAGGATATGGAAATCATGGGCGCCGCCCAAATGCCGCTTTTTGTGGCTGCCTGGCTGGTCACGCACAACAAGTGCTGGACGGTTGATCGTCTAGCACGCCGTGGGCTACCTCATCCAGAGTTCTGCCCCCTTTGTGACCAAGAAGAGGAAACCATCGACCACCTCCTTGTCCATTGTGTGTTCGCAAGTCTTTTGGTTCAATCTATTCAGACAAGTCGGTCTTCAGGCCTTGTCCCCTCAGCCTACAGACTTATCCTTCCATGCTTGGTGGGAGAAAGCTAGCAGCACTGCTGATGGGTTGATGAGGCAAGGAATTAATTCTCTCGTTATGCTCGGAGCTTGGACTATATGGAACCATTGCAATAGGTGTGTCTTTCATGGAGCAGCCCCAAACCTTACTGGCGCGCTGATCTTAGCCGGCAAGGAGCGCCGTTTGTGGTCTATGGCAGGGGCTCGAGGGCTATCATTCCTGACTGCCCTCCTCCCCGGTAGTTAGTTAGAGTGTTTAGCTCAGTTTTTTTGGTCGCCTTGTGTGTTTTCCCGGGGCGAATATAAATTCTTCAACTGGTGGGCCATGAGTGCGTGCGTGTGTTTGGTGTTTGTGGGGTTGTTTCGGCTCTTGCCCTTTTCTCTTCTTAATATAATGATGCGCAGCTCTCCTGCGTTTTCGAGAAAAAAAAATCATACTTCCGCGCTTCATTATGTCCATATTTAACTAGTTCAAAGTATTAGAAACATATATTACCATACAATACTAACCTTCACTTGTTCATCATCTTGAAAGCAGGTGAGTTTTGAGCAAATAAATATACCAACAGAGTAATTTCACTATCAAGGTTTGGTAAGATTACTAGATTAGTGAATGACAACTTACAGGTCTCAAACTCAGTGGAGAGAGAATATGTAAAAAGGGGGAAGCAATGTCTTCAACGAATGATTCTACTGAGAGGTGCCTTGAAACAAATGGTGACATTTGGTTTTGCCAGGTCTTCAACATGTCTTTCTTTTCTAAAAGCAATGCTCGAGACCTGAAAAAATATCTACATTAATCCCACTAATGGGAAGCGAAAAAATATATTTATGTGAAAAAATTACCTCTGCAAAGCTTTTGGCCATTCAATATTTGGCTTCTCAACTTGAGCAATCATGCGGCTTATAGTGATAGCAATTGGAGGTTGATATGCTGAAATAAGTGGTTTAACTTTGTTAGTCAAATCTCAATACAAAAGAGAAAATATACAGCCAGTCTGATTCTACCATGAAGTGGCATGTGCTGAGTCCGGTAAACATATTGGGTCAAGGAATCTGAAACTCCAAGTATATCGAGACATTTTACCTGCATGGCAGTTTGAGCTATGGTAAGTATGAAAATGAATTATAGTGCAAGCCAAACACCTAACATAATTAAGCAAGAATAGCGTTTTGTACAAATACTCACAGTCTTTTGCAACATCGGGTCATGATACGATAGTTTCAAGAAATTTTCATGGATCCCATCCATAGTAACTTCATAATCACCACTGCAAATTGAATATTTAACGTGAATAAGTGATCCAGTTCAAAGAAACAATGTAAGAAATCTGACAAAAGAGAATTTTACCGGTTAGATATGAGTGTGAAGAGAGAGTCTATGTCCTTGTCTTCATTGAAAAGGCTTTCAGCCTTTCCAGACCGCTTGAGTCTTTTCTTTTGCAAAACCTGAGGAACAATGAAACTTAATAAGATGATTTTGGGTGAAACTTTGCTAGCATGGGTCCTAATACTTGATTTAAATATAAGAACAAGGGTAATCAGAAGACATGTCTATTCGATGAAAATATTAAAGCATGTGGCTTTATAGAAGCAAAATGATGTAGAACAAGGCCTCTTTATGTAAGAACATGGATTTTCTTAGTTCAGAGAAAGCTTCTAGAATGTTGCATCACATTGTTTCTGGTAGTGAATATCATTAGCAGTGCAGACTTGTGAGGTCTATGGGAACTAAGAAATGCTTATATGTTTTTAGAATCCTTCTCCTTCTTGGATCAGTTTGGAGAAGCTGCTGGAAAGAATACTGGTAAGGCACAAGGTTGGATGATTCTGTGTCCAGTGAAAGAAAAACAAGTTCTGGAAAAGACTATTGCTGCGCTAAGGTCACTGGCGGCAGACCTGATCAGATTGTCAGGCTAATCTTGGAGGATGACCTCAGGAATCTGACACTCAAGACAAGATTGCTATAGGTGAACTGTGTCTCTGGTGTTTGGGAGAACAAGCTAGGGGCCGACGAAGCGCGGCAAATTGTCTAGCGCTGTTGCTTTGGTGTAGTGGAGAGTGCAGCCTATGTGGCGCTGGGGATACTTCTCGGTTGATGTTATTTTTAAATTCTAGTGGTTGTTTGGTTGGTGTGAGAACTGCTTGGCAGCATCCCAACCTCTGCTGTAACAGACATGCGTCTTGGCTTTGCTAAGACTGGGGAATAAAGCCCTAAAGTTCTAAAAAAAAGGAGAGAAGGATAAGGTTCATAAAGTTGATAGCAAGGCTGGAGAAGTATGTTTAGCTGCAGTCACTATAGCATTGGTCCATAAGATGGCCTTAGTTATGATTGGTGCGGTAGTACTCATTATTAGAGGAAGGCCAACAGGCTTGTACTACTTGAGATTGATTTACATGAGGGATTACATATATATAGGGAATACAGGAAAGCCCAAAGGGCCAAGCCAGCCTGGGAGGCTGCGCATACAGCTAGGGGACTAGGGGTAATTAGCCCAAGTACCTAGGACTAATAAAAGACCAGCAATGATTAACACAAGTACCAAGGAGATATTCTAACACCCCCATGATCGGGCGTCGGTAGAAACGAGCGTTCGAAGGCTGGAGCGAAAATCCATAAAGCAGAAGAGGAAGCCCCTTGGTGAAGATATCGGTGAACTGCGACGTGGTTGGAACATGAAGAACACGGACGGCTCAATGGCGACCCGTTCGAGACGAAGTGGAGGTCGATTTCCACGTGCTTGGTTCGGCTGATCTTTGAAAGGGGTTGGTGGAGAGGTAGAAGCGGCTGACGTTGTCGCGATGAAGCGAGGAGGCGAGACTCGGAGGGTGATGAAGTTCTGGAGAAGCTGCCGTAACGGGAGGCTTTCGGCGACACCGTTAACAGCAACGACGGTATTCCGCCTCGGCTATTGGACCGAAAGCGGTGGTTTGGCGCTGGACGACGACAGAAACAAGGCTGCCTCCAAGAAAGACAGCAGCGTAGCTTTGAGGTGGAAGCGGCGGGTGTCGGGCGGCGGCCCAATCGGCGTCGGTGTACACGACTAAGTTGTGTTGGAGTAGATCTGGGAATAACCAGGCCATGGCTGAGAGTGCCCTGGAGGTAGCGAAGAATGCGCTTGGCAGCCACTAGATGAACTTCCCGAGGATCATGCATGTGGAGGCAAACTTCACATCTGCGTATGCAATGTCGGTCAGTGAAGGTCAGTCTTGAAGAGCTCCCACAAGGCTGGTGGTAGTCTCAGAGATTCGATAACAGGAGGACCCGAGATCTGCGGGCACTTTAGCACATGTGTCATCAGGGTAGAGCAAGGTTTGCAATCGCTCATGCCATGTCGGGCAAGAATGTCCAGTGTCTTGTCGTTGTGAGAGAAAGAGAGAATCCTGTGTCATTGAAGCGCCATGCCGAGGAAGTGGTGCGAGGGACCGAGATCTTTCATGGCAAACTCCTTCTTGGGGCATCAATCACACGGTTGAGGAGAGCTGCTCGAGAGGAGGCGATGAGGACAATATCGTCCACACATCTGAAGCAAGTAGACAGTCTCGGTGCCACGTCGATATATGAGCAGAGATGTGTACATCTTGGCTTGATGAACCCCGATGATAGCAGAAATGAAGCAAACCGGTTTGTGCCATGCATGCATGTGCTCGCTTTAAGCCGTATAGGGATTTGTTGAGCTTGCGGGCGTGTCGAGAAAGGGCAGGATTAGTAAAGCCCGATGGGCTGAGGTCGACAAAGTCCCATGGAGGAAGGCGTTCTTCACATCAAGTTGATGGATGGGCCAATCCAGAGTGAGCCAAAGTGAGGACAAGATCTGAATGTAGCCGGCTTGACGACGGGATGAAAGTCTCATCGTAATCCACTCGGGCGTTGTGTGAACCCACGGAGCACCCAACGAGCCTTGTATCATCCAAGGTGCCATCTCGCATGAAACTTGTGTTTGAAGATCCATTTCCGGTGGCGACATTAGCCTTGGCGGCCGAGTACTAAATCCCAAGTATGGTTGTCCGGGAGAAGCGGCAAATTCTTCTTCCATGGCCCGACGCCAATGAGGATTGGCAAAAACATCCAAGCAGGACATGGCGAGAGGGAATGAGCCTCGGTGTGTAGAGCAAGGCGAAATTTGTCGATACCGAACTTCAGCGGGTCGCCATGCCATGAGAGTTGGCGATGGGCGGGATGGAGACAGCTCTGATGGCAGCAGTGTGGAGAGGAACCATCTTTGGGCGTCGAGAGGAGAGCCCACCCGGAGGGGGACTCGGTGGCGTCTTTGGATGTAGGAACACGTCGATTGTAGACATGGACGACGGGTGGCAGCGCCATGGGCGCTGTCTGAGAACCTGATGGGGCGCTGTCAGACAGAGGGCTAATCTTTGTTAGCCTTTGTCTGTGGGCGCCGATGAAGAAGGCGCCCGTGGCGCCAGTCTGAGGAGATGGCGTGGGCGTGGTGAAGCCGGGTGGGGTGATCTGGACACGGTGTACCCATCTGGACACGACGACGAGAGAGGGGAGCCTGTGATGGTGCAAGCTTTTGGTATGGTGCCGGTAGCTCTGGGGAGACTGCTGCAAGAGGCGAGGGCCCGATGGAAAATCGTCATCAGTTAGAAAATCCAGTTCATGTGTAGGTGGCGAGGGCCGGTGAAGGGAGAAAGGAAACGTTGTTTCGTTGAAAACAACGTGGCGAGAAATGATGACCCGGTTGGTAGTGAGGTCGAGGCACCTGTACCCCTTGTGATCAGGAGAGTAGCCAATGAAAGCGCATAAGGAAGAGCGGGGCAAGTTTGTGAGGCGATGGCGGTGAGATTGGGGTAGCAGGTGCATCCGAAGGTTCGGGAGGTCGTGATAGGATGGATGAGTGCCATAGGCGCAAAGAAAGGAGTGCTCATGTTGGCGTTGTGGTGGGGAGGCGATTTATGAGGTGGGTGGCGATAGCAAGAGCATCATTGAAGAAGGCGGGGGCATGGAGGCTTGGAAAAGCGGCGTCGAGTGACATTGTTGGTGGTCTGAAGCATGCGTTCGGCTTTGCCATTTTTTGCGAGGTGTAGGGGCATGACATGCGGAGAGAAACACCTTTGGCAAGGAAGAAAGCACGAGAGGCGGCGTTGTCAAATTCACGACCGTTATCACATTGCACGGACTTGATGATACAATAAGCCAAAGTGTAGTGTGCACAGAGGCAAAAGAAGTTGGAGAGAGACGGTGAAGGTGTCGGACTTTAGGCGAAGAGGAAAAGTCAAAGAAAATGAGAGCAATCATCGATAATAACGAGATAATATTTAAATCAGATACACCGATAATAGGTGGCGTCCACAAATCACAATGTATCGGATCGAAATTTTTGATGCTCTAGACAAGGAACTAGTGAAAGGCAAGCGAACATGGCGCCCAAGTGGCGAGCATGGCGAGAGGAGTCATCTTGAGATTTGCTGCAGAGATAATTGAAGAGGATGGCGAGGTTTAAGAAAAACGGCCTTGCTGGGGTGGCGAGGCGACGATGCTGAGTAGTTGGAGAAGGAGTGGCCACAAGAGCACAAGGGCTGAAAAGCGATGACGGGAGCTGCAAGGTGTAGAGGGGCCACAGTGTTACATCGAAGGAGGGTGTTCTGCACGAAGATCCTTCACAGAAACACCACCAGAGGGTCAAACTCACGTAAAGTAATGCTCGGTGGTGAATTTCTGACGGAAAGGAGGTTTTTAATAATGTCGGGGAGCTATGAGGACATTGTTGAGATGGAAAGGGCCGGGGAAGAGTGGAGTATCCGGTGCCAACAACCAAGGAGAGTGGCGCCATTTCCCACAACAATGAAGGAAGGAAAGGAGGAGGATGGAGATCGGTAATCATACGAGGTTGGAGGCGATGTGAGGCGAAGCACCCGAGTCGATCTTGAGTCTTTGGCGTTAGCGAGGCCGAGGGTCCCAAGGGACCATGCGAGGCGTCGGGGTGCAAAAAGAAGAGGCGCTGAGGGCACTGGTGGTAGTAGCTGGAGAGGCACGCCGGTTGCCGGTAGCGTCTTCTTGCATCTGCAGCGTCTTCTTGTACTACTTTGTGAGGAGCTAGGGCGAGGTGGAGGACCGCGAGAGCCACCAGCGTGGACCGGGCCACATGTGGATGGACCCGGTCCACGGGTTGAAGACGGAAGGCCACTGCGAACCACCAGGTGAGCCGCTGTTCGAGCCGCCTTGGCCACGGCCGCCACGACGGCGTCGGCCACGGCCATCGCCATCGCCAGTGAGCCCCCGGTGTTACGTGGAGAATGGGGTGTGCAGTCCGAGGTCGGTTGTGATGCAACTTCTTTGGGCGGATAGAAGTAACGAGTGCCGATGGAGGTGTAGAAGGCGCCATGTTGGCTCGGCGAAGGCTTGGTCGGCGCAGACGTCTGAAAAGGAGGGAGCGGCTTTTGGCGCGTGATGAAGCTGCGCCATGAGCTGGAAGCGTTCGTTGAGGCCTCGCGGTATGTTCAAAGACCACCGAATACGGTCATGAAAAGCTCGCCCAAATCAGCCCAAGGCATCAGCCATGCCCTTCATCTTGCGGCGATGTCGTCAATGGAGAGAGCGCCACGGGAGAGGTGCGAAACTCAAACATCGAGAAGCATGGCGCGGGACTCACGGTTGTTGAGAGCTATTTGTTCAATGCCGAGCCATCTTTGCCCGGCGGAGATCTTGCGTCGCGCTCGTGGATGGCGCCCGGAAGGTCGAGGAGATGGTGTTGAAGAGCCGAGAGCGACAACACAGTCCATCTGGACCATGCCGGGTCGTCGGCGAGAGGCGTCGCGAGGGCGTGGTCCTTCAACTCGAATCGGCCGAGGATGAGGAGGGCGTGGCAGCGCCACTTGTTTGTAGTTGGATGGATGAAGATCAAGAATGATTGGAATCGGAGTTCTTGATGTTCGGATGGCGGCCGGCTTGGCGTGTAGATGAGCAATAGCCGCGGCCGAGAGATGATGGAGCGGTCGTCGCGTCGTGGGAGTCATCATCGCGAGAGACTCAAAGACGGCGGCGGTCCACGAGCAAGCGACTTGTTGTTCGGAGCGTAAACTGCGCTTCGCTCGCCCTTTCGAGGGCGGTGGCGGCGACGCAGCGCGCGCTCTGGCTGGGCGTGGCGGCGGACTTAAGGAGTTCAGCCTCGATGCGGAGGCTGTGTGCTGCGCTTCGGTGTTGGAGGAGCGCAGGAGGCGGCCTCATCCTCCAGCGTCTTGGCGGCAGCGAGGGCCTCAATCACGGAGCTTGGCGCGGTGACAACGGCCGAGGCTCCGGAGGAGGAGTTGCGGAGGGAGCCATGGGCCGAGAAGAAGAAGCCTTGGCAGGTGAGGGAGGCGTCTTGATCGAGAGGAGAGAAGAAGTGCTGTGACGAGAGGGGCCCAAGCAATGAGAGGTCGGGCGTGGCTCGAGGCGAAGCACGCACGCCGAGAGGTGCGGAAGCGGGTTTAGAGGTCCGAGATTAGTGATACCATATTAGAGGAAGGCCAACAGGCTTGTACTACTTGAGATTGATTTACAGGAGGGATTACATATATATAGGGAATACAGGAAAGCCCAAAGGGCCAAGCCAACCTGGGAGGCTGCGCATACAGCTAGGGGACTAGGGGTAATTAGCCCAAGTACCTAGGACTAATAAAAGACCAGCAATGATTAACACAAGTACCAAGGAGATATTCTAACACTCATGTTCAGAGTCGATGTCGAAACTTCAGGAATACACCAGTTGCTTGAACAAATGATTGTATACACAGAAAATAAAAGAGAATTGCAGAAGAGGATACAGGGAAAAAACATCAAACCTGCTTCCAAACGTCGAGGATGCTTTTTGACTTATCTTTCTGTCCAATTACTTGTGAATCAAACGCTGTCTGCTCCATAACACGTATCATTAGGTAAAGAATATCATATATATTGATAGTATCATCATATGGATAACTAAACCAGTTCACTTACAATGTTTAGTGCCACTCTTTTCTTGTTCAAAAACTGAAGTGTGTTTAGGCATGAACGGATGTCACATTCTGCAGGGATATATTTCTCATCAGTCCAATGTCTATGAAAATAACCATTCATCTCAGTGGGCAACGATAGTCCATGCAAATAGTAGAATTTGCATTCATCCACCGGAACTCCGGAAGTATTAGAGTTCACGATACAAGCAAAGGAAAAAGGAAATGAAAGGAAAGCCTCATAGCCAGGTCAAAGATTGGAATGCAAATTATTAAGATAGTAGATTTCTATTAATCAGGCTGAACCGCTGGATGTTAGTATTTTTATGTTAATGAATTGTGAATCCTATTAATTCATTGTACAACAAGAGTTCAAAATATTTGTCAGTTTTCTTTCAAAGTAAAAAATGTGTCATTTGGATGAAGCTAAAGAAACTGTACCAGTGTACTCCGCTAAAGCAGAAAGCGCGATCGAACTTGTCTTGAAACCTTCGTTTTTGCATATATACTTGAGCCTAAGGAGAAGTGAAGTATTAAAAAGATGGGCTGTGATAAAAGTATGTTTGTGGCTACAACCAATTTTGTTTGTTGTTGTTGATGAAGCTAAAGGAATAAGTGCATTCACATCACCTGTTCACCACACGACTAATTGTCGGGTGCACAAACACATGAACCCTGTGAATTTAAACCAGTCCTCATAAGCAAAAATTTAATGGTTTACAACTGTACCAAACATAATGAGTACAGAGAAGGAAATATATTACTTGGCTACTTGGCGCAGTTGTCTCAGGGCTGGAGCATAAAGGTCATTGCATATACAAATTACCTTTAAAATTGTATAATTAGTACTTATTATATCTAATAGACTTTAAAGACAAAAAAAAATGGTGGCAAAGAGTGTAGCTTCAATGCTTACAGGCCTCAGTAGTTTTGCTGTTCTATGACTTTTCCTAGATGCCTTTCGGACTTGAGTTTCCTCACTAGTGCTCCTGTCGGAATTATTACTCTTTTCAGCATTGATCTGCGAAGAGAAGAACAAACCATGTAATGCAAAAACTTGTTTGGTAAGGTGAAAAAAATGCATGCAAGCCAAAAATAATAAGTAAAGTAAAGCTGAGCAAAGTACTAAATAAGATGTCAGGTGAGGATTACCATCTTCAAGATGACCTCCACTGCACCTTTTCCATCACCAAGTGCTCCATCAATTTCATCAATTACCTAAACAGGATAGAATACTCAACAGAATATAAAAGGAGCTATTCGACAAAGTAGCAGCTGTATTAAACGTACCAGACACTTGGGCTTCGAATCTGACATGATCGAGTTCATCTGAACTACATCGAGAACTTTTTTTTCAATGGATGAAGCAGAACGGTCATCACTGGCATTAATCTGCATTTAATACTGAATGTAAGCAACATACAGAACTTGAATTGGAAACAGGAATTAAGTAGGTTAGCTAAATTAGAAGTGTCCATGATAAATTGTGTGGATATACTCTAATAATACCAAGACGACCAGTATTCAGTAGGAGACTATATTGGATGGATTACCAACCACAATTTATCTTCCCCCTTATCAAAAAAAGACCACAATTTATCTTCCTGGGGAGCATTAGAGCTCAACAGACCAACTGTCAAATCAACCACTCAAGCATTTTTTAACTAGAAGAAGTGTTTAAGTTTTGGAGCAAACGTTAATAGAAGGAAAATCAGTTAGGTCTCAGCTTTCAATGTAACATAATAGCATTGACACAAATATATTATGCAATGAAATGTAGTCATGACTTCAATGTAACAAAACTGAAGCAGGGGGATTTGGAAGCATAGCAGCAGATATATACGGCACTAATCATATAGCACATAAATCTTTAATAGTCATGCATTATCATGTTAAACAACCAACACACTGCTAGCATTGTATGACCATAACACAGACCTCCACAACATGGTAGCCACAATGTCTGGCTGCAACATGAGCAAGTGTGGTCTTTCCAAGCCCAGGTGGACCACATAGTAGCAACACCTGCAACATCAGGAGGGTATTCAATTGCAGTAGTGAACCAGCGTGACAAACCAGCAAATATTTAGAGACAGATTTTGGTCACAAACTTGAACATACAACACAGCAGTGCTGGCCCACCTTTTGTTCTGGTGTATTATCAACTGATGACTTTTTGCTGAAGGAGCCACCCAAACCTTCTGGATTGCTGCTTTGTGCATTCAGGGGTGTGCCATCTTGACTTGCAACAGGACCCCCCTTGCTCTTGGAAAAGAAATTTCTGTTACTTGCATTCTTGTGGATGGTTGAAGAGTGTCGACGTAAGGCAGATAAGACATCATCACCCGTTGCCCGAATATGGGACCCAAAAACACTGGAGTCCCATTGTTTAAGCCATAGAAGTACCTGAGCAAGGCACATACACATATGTCAAGTGAAAATGTTAGGCAAAAGACGGAAACCTTGACTTTGAAGTAGCAAGGTGGAATTTGGAATAGCTTTACCTCTCGGTTTGTGTGCTCATCACTTAATAGCTCTGTGAAAGAATTTGGTGCATACTTTTCCACCCAAAGTTTTTCTGTGACTAGTGGAGTCGCTGAACAAACCACGCGGTCTATTGAGTTTGTACTTTCCTGCAATGCCTGCATATACATAATGAAAAGTATGTTAGTCAAGTACTTCAATTGGCTTATAATTTAATCATCACACCATATAAGTATATAAGGGTGTACCCAGTGCAGAGAGCTCCCGCTCTGTGCGGGGTCTGGGGAAGGGTGTCAGTGGCAAGCCTTACCCTCGCCTGTGCAATGCGAGGAGACCGCGACTCGAACCCGGGACCTTCCGGTCACAGGCGGTAAGACTCTACCGCTTGCACCAGGCCCGCCCTTCACCATATATATATATATATTAGTCAATTAGTCAAGCCCTTCCTTAAGCTAGTAGTCAATACATGTTGTAGACATGGTTAGGTCATACTGTACACTTGGAAGACCCTATGAACAATCCAATGCTCAGAATCGAACATTGTCTTCTAAACCACTCAACAATAGAATTATTATTTAACTTATGGAATGTTTGTGGAAATTTTTCATAGTGAAATCCACAAGGAACAAGAGCACACGCACCCCCGTTTTGGGCAAAATGTTAAAATTTTCACAAAAAGCTCAAGTAGCAAGAGTAACCATCTTTTCCTAGTACTATTCAGCAATGTCCACTAAATTTCCAGTGTTTCCCAAATAAGGATCATTTGATTCTTAGAGTTCAGTTTAGATTGTACTACTGCTCCCAGTTTAGTTATAACTAAACAATGACGTGTTAAGGACAGCCATGAAGTGTGATCTATAGAATATGCCTAACATGTGCGTCTACATATGTACCTTAGCTAAAGCCTCCTGCTCAGCACGCCTTGTTAGTGAGTGAAAGGATTCTGAGAGCAGGCCTGCAGAAACACATACGACGTGAACAAACAGACCAAATGCATCCTCAATCTTGAGAGAAATAAGTACTGTAAGAGCGAGCAATAAATCACTCAGTAACTAACCCTTGTGGTTCATGTTTGGGTTGGAGAAGTGAGCCCCTTGCCTGGTTCCGCTAATTCCTCGACCGACCGACCCCTCCATTGCAAGCTTGGCATAAACCCTCTCCCCATTGGGAGCAGTGACGGGCACAGAGTCTCCATGGATCTCCGACGCGAACCGCGACAATGTCTTCTCGGCGACGACGATTTCAGGGGCGGGAGGCGGCGAGTAGCGAAGCCAATCCTCGCCCTCCGAGATCTCCTGCTCAACGTTTCTCCGCTTGCTCCTCTCCTCTTCCTCATCCTGCTCCGGCGGTGGCGGAGGCGGAGGCCGCTTCAAACCGCCCGACGCTTCATCTTCGCACGCGTTTGACCAATTTAGTTAGCAATGGAAACAATCGAGGGCTACGTTCTGATATACAAAGAAGGGGTGCATTGCATACTTGCTCGTAGCACGGCTGAGTCCTGCGGCTGCGGGGAATCGCACGGTTGGTCCGAATCGCCGGGAGGCGGGACGAAGCCCTCGTCGGGGTCGTCGAAGTAGGCGTCCTCCTCTTCCTCAGGGACTAGACTGTGGCTCTCCATCCACTCGAGCTCGTCCGGATCTGGCATCTCCATGTCCATCTCCATCGCCGACTCGCCGGCGCAGCGGTAGCCAGGCGGCGGCGGCGGAAATGCGGAGAGTCGATGGCGGGAAGTGGCGGAAATGGAGTGGGCGTTGCCGCCTTTCTGCCTGATCTGTTTTTATGGCGGCCAGGTGGTATGGATCAGCCCAACATGAACTCTTAAGCCCATGTAGGAGTACAGATATATATCTTGTTCACTATCAGTATTTCTATTAGAAAAACAATCTAAGCAAGTCAACGTTATTTAGGTTCCATTTGGCACGTCTACTCTGCCAACTTCAGAAGCTATTTGGACTGAGTGGGCTAAAATAAAACAACTCTACTTGAAAAGGTCTTTAAAATATGCTCTCACAATGGATGAAAGATGAAGCTAAAAATAATAGCTTCACCTAGCTCCAGCTCACTCTGATGATCTATTTCTAAAATTGTGTTAAAGTATGTTTTAAGGAGCTCTACATGCAGAACTGTTTTATCAAATAATTCACCAAAATAGCTTCAAGTTCACGGTAGAGCTGCTTGTGGAGTAAAAAAAATAACAACACTAATGAAATGGAACTATGTCGAATAGAGTCTTAACATTTGTTATCATAAAATAGTGTATATATAGAAAGAAGGAGCGCATTGCATACTTGCGTGTGCCCAATCTCGTTGTGTTTGATGAGGGAGAAATGGGGAGAGAGGGCTGCGGTGGTGGGTTGACAGAGAAGATAAATGGAAGGCAGAGGGCTTCAAGCGCACATCTCCAGTGCGGTCGGGCACGGTGCCGACTGATGGAGTGGGAGGGAGGCGTCAGCAGCAAAAGAGATAATGGAAGGGACTAGCACGGTAACATCTCGGTTTTTTTCAACCCAAAAAATACGAACTTTTTAAAAAAATTTCCTGCAATATAGGTTACATGCAGTCGCTAGGTCAAACCCAAGCCAAATTCCTTCCTTTCTCGGCCTAACTTTAAGACTATGACTTTGTAATCTTGCACTGCATATAATTTAGTTGCATAATAAGTGCCTTGAGTTGGTTCTGGTTGGAGTTGTTGTTTGATTGTAGGATTAAAACAGCAAGTAGTTTGGAGAAAAATTAGAAAAGGAGAAAACCCAGGCCCTCTCCTCCCTTCCTTCAGCCCAGCCGGCCGGGAGGCCTAGGTTGCCTCCCGAAGACCCAGCGCGCCCCCTTCCCTTCCCTGGCCTGCTCCTGCTCCACTGGCCCAGCCCAGCTAGCCTCGTAGGCCTAACCCTTCTTGTGCCTTCCCTCTTTGGCCTCGGCCTTCCTCACAGCCCAGCCGCAGCCCAGCTGGAACAAGCCACGGGCGCACCCACGCCCAAACCCTAGAGCCACGCAGACGCGCCTTGGGAAGCTGCTGCCGCCACGACCCGCCCCATCCGTGCCTTGGCGTCCGTACCAGGAGCAGTGCGATGGACGCCACGTGTCCCGGAGCTCGCAAGGACGCCGGAGATGGACACCTAGCCTTGGAACCCTAGCCCAGCGCCGCTATAAGAACAGGAGTCAACACCCCTTTCCCATGTTCCCCGTATGCGCCGCCATGAGCTCCCTTGCCCCTCTTCCTCCCTGTTCCTCTCTGGTCAGAGCACCACCGCCTTAGCCGTCTCCATCGAGCCTCAGCCATGCCAAGCCAAGCCGCCTACAACTCCACTCCAACCTACCACAGCCGGCCACAGAGGAACCCCGCCTGTCGTGCCACCATGACCCCGATGCCGCCCAAGCTTTCCACGCGCGTCGAGCCACACGACGTCGTGATGAGGGAGCCCTACCTCGCCGTCCCCTACACCATGACCCCGCATCGAAGCCCCGACCGTCCTTGTCCAGCTCCCCAACGATGCCAAGCCAAGGACCCAGAGCGACGCCTTTGCACCTCGCCCTGCTCCGCCTCGTCCTCAAGCTCCTGCACCAGGGCACTGGCCTCGCCATGGAGGAGTTGCGCCGGGCCACCAAGCACCCCGGCGCCCTCTGCAGCGGACCGTGACCCCGAGGCCACCATCGCCATGAGCTCCTGTTCTAGCCCTGCGACGTCGAGCTCGCGGCCTCAAGCCACATCGACGTACCCGACTCACCGGCCGCCATGGAGCCCCGACCTGAGCCGTTCGCCACCGGTTCGCTGCTGCTCTTCGACCCCGACATCGTCGACCTCACCTCCAAGCCCAAACCCGTGACCTCATTGCGTTCTCCACCATGCAACACCACGATGACCACCTCCTTGTGCTGGATGTCGTCACCGAACCCCGACTACCTCGCTGCTATGAGCCCGGCCGCACCCAGCCACTTCCGGCCAGCCTTAGCTACCGCTGGTTGGCCACAACCACCCTTTGGCTAGTTACAGCTAGCTTTTGCTTGGCCGCTGTTGTCCATAATCGGCCAGTGGACACCACAACATAGGCTACGACCACCCCCGACGAGCCTCGGACTTCCTTGGCCTTCACTATACCAAGGGTAAGCCCCCTACCTAGCCAAGTTTGCTCCTTTGCCTTCGATCGATGACCCTAACGACTGCCCAACATGAGCCCAAGGCAGTGGCTTTGTAGAGCTACCGTCGTGCTGAAGCTACAAAATCGACCCGAACACTGTGACCAACCCCTACTACGACTATGGAAAGCCTTGAACCAAACCCTGGTGTGCGCCCACGACAACGTAGCTGCACTGCCGCTACCCACCGAGCCCTACCCGCGTCAAGCGACCTACCGTCCGCAAGCCCTCGATGAGACAACCAAAGGCCTGACCTTTCCAACCCCACATGTTGCCGCCCCAAGGCCGATGACCCCTCCGTGTGTTCGTCCTTCGAACCGTGTTTTTCTGCAGGGGCCTCGCCGACCGCGTGCTACCTATACCCGTAGATACATATCACATATACCCTGCACTCACCGTGTCCTTCCATGGCACTCATGCCTCGGACGACACCGACCTAAGCATGTTCTTACCGCACTGTCGAGCACCTCCGCTTGACCCTCGCGGCACCACCATAGGTCACCTACGCCACCCACTACCGCTTGTGCGAGACCTAGCCGCGTTGTTGCGGCCACCACGAACCCTAGTGCACCGAGGATGCCACTGCCTAGCCATGGCCGTGACCAAACCCTCGGAGGCCATCCATGATACCTAGTCCACGCCCGTGCCATTGAACCGCACTGCACACCATGGCTTTGCCCTCACCTGGCTTCCTAGAGGCCAAGGCGAAGCCCTTCATGGACGCTCGCCATTCTAGCACACAGCAGCACGAGCCGAGTTCTTTGGGGCATATCATCGAACCCCCGTGATGTGCCTCCCTGCCTATCTTCCCGCACCGCTTGTTTGGCCTTCGAGCCACTTCCATGGCCCTTTTGTGGAGACATCGGACCGCCGCCGCTAGTCACCACGACTATGGCAGCGCGCTCCCACACGAGCCCCGCCCCCGTATCTGCTCGCGAACACCCGTGAGCATGCACACGCACGCCGCCAGCTCCTTCAAGCTCTCGGCCGAGCATCGCACGCGCGCCTACCCACGCGGTGACGCGCGGCCGTGCCTTGCACGCCACCGCGTGAGCTCGGCAACACCACCGCCATAGCGAACCGCTCATGGTTGTGACCACGCGTCGGAGCACAAGCCAAGTCCTTTCAAACCTTCACCAAACACCTACGAAGGCGCCACTGCCATAGACACAGCGCCACCACGGTGCCTGCGCGTGCACGAGCCTATCGTGCCTCGCCTCACCGCCACACCCCCGCGTCCTCTTCATGTCATCATTCGGCGTGCCAAGCCATGCTCATGCACGATCTGCCGTAGCTTGACGCTCGCGGCGCACACGAACAGCGCGATGGCAAACCAGCCCTTGATGATGCCACCGCTTGGACAATCACGCACGCGCACTCGCCGGCCCAAGACCTCTTTTTGTCTCCTCGACGCAGCCAATCCACCGCCTTGCACACACCCAAGGTCCTGCCGGAGACGCGACACCACCGCGACCTCCATGCCGAGCCCGCCAAGAATCCATAGCCGGCATTGGAAGCACCTCTGGGTGATTGGTCGCTGGACCACGACCACTTGAGTACACGTCCGGCGAACACGTGGACGCCGCATTATGCACTTGCATAGCGAACTCAAACCAATGGGACTATGTTGCCGCCCTTAACCAAAGTGAGCCTTTGGCCCACGTAGCCACACCAAGCACAACCACGCTCACTCAACTTGAGCTGAGCTAAGCTAGGCCTAAGGCCCTTTTGCCGATCTTGTCATGTCATTCGAGTACCTATGGCCTTGGCTGTCCCATTGTTGGAGCTAAGTTGATCACGTGCAACCCTGCCACCAACCCTACACGTGCGCCACCATGGCCCGACCATAGCACAACCGAGTAGAGTCCCGACCTGCAACCCGTGCAACCTACCTTGGCCCTCGAGTGTGGTGATGCTAGGACCAACCTAATCCCAACCATTGACATAGGCAGACCTCCACTTGATAGCCTCGCTTTTACCCAACCTAGCTGACATGACTTCGATAGTCCAACCCTATAGCCCTGAGAATCTAACGCCAACATAAGGGGCCCATCAACCATGTGTCCATGATGATCCTAGTCTCACCATGGCACCTAACCTAGACCTGGAGCCACCTTGCACCCACCAAAGCCTAGGTCAAAGCCATAGGTTCACAGCCATGTATGAGTGAATTTGGTTCTTCTTTGTTCTTTTGGCTCTTTGTGATAACCTGTAGTTTATAGGGATACCGGTTGGACGTGCGTCAGCTCTGGAGGACCCGTGGAGTGGAGCTAACCTTGGAGGTGGAGGCCCGCGCCGATCGACTACACCAACTGGCGGAGACTTGTACCACTACTACCTCGACATAGTAGGTGTCATGACATCACCTTTTACTCAGAGAATCCTATTAGGCATTGCAAAGTAGAAACTGCTAGCGCTTTACATTTATTCCTTTTCTAGAATATGCGATGCATGCTATTGCCTGAGCCTTGTTTGCCTTGATTGAAACCACTTCACCCTGATTACCCAGCTCCGCACTCGCACTTATAT